TCGCATCTCGAATAATTATTTGAGATAATTATTTCGTACGATTCTAAGAGAAAATAACGTGTTGCTAATGATAATATTTCTAAAGTCATCGCAGCCATGGAAACGATTACGAAGTAAGATATCATGCTATCTAAAATAATATTAGAAATACTGTCGTTTCAATTGTGCCTAGGTCCGACAGCATCCATTATGCAACAAACCTCGTAGCATTCTCGATCAAATAAATTGCCTCGAGAAAATTCCATGTTCAGGCATCGCTTCTGAACTTCTATCTCCCTCAACGTGCATTTCTTTAGAGCAGAACACCGCATCGGATAAATGACATTGCGGATAATTCGCGCAGAATGTCGGCAGGGGATTGCGGGAATTTATTAGAGTTTCGCGGAACAATACGCGAGAGGATCAGCGGATCCGCGAGCGAGGAATCGCGCTCGGTTGTTCGCGTTGCGCCGTTACGAAACCGCCTGGTCCCATGCGCGAGGAAATCGTGGCATAACCTTTAGCATAATAATGGTAGAAGCTCGGGCCTCTCCGAGTTTCCACTCGAGACAGCCGCGACGGAGGTCGGCAGAAACGGGAAATCATCGACGGAATGCCGTCGTCCAAGGATCACCGGTCGACGATTCCGCTCCTCGATCCTGCGGCCTGCTCTAAAACCTTCGAAAATCTATCCAGACGCAGGCACAGACACAATGGAACCTCTGTTCAGTCTATCCTCGGCCAAATTTCATCGAAAATTGCGATCAAATAGCTGTTCTATTATGCGAACACTTGTTACGTCTACTTCGGATAACAGAGGTCACTGATAGAAATTTTATTTTATTTTTTTATTCATCTTATTCACATATATGGGTATAAAGCCTTTTATATAGTCGTCATACAAGTACAATAAAAATAAAGATATATATTTATAATGATTAGACAAATAATTAGATCTTACGAACACTGTTACATTATTTCGATCTTATTAAATTCATTAACAGAGGAAATCCATTTTTATTCGACCTCTGTTGCAGTCGAGGTAGACAATATTTATTTTGCACAAAAATCCGCAGTCTGATGACGATATTCGAGTGTGCTGATATTTCTAATTATTTTGGATCATCGAGTTACAACGATGTGCATAATTATAGACCCAAAAAGAACTTTACATTGTTACCGGCATTTAAACAGAAACCAAAAAGGCACTACACATATTTCTATTTTCTACTGTTTCTAACATAGAAATATACGAACATGACGTTTCGTTAAGATTTCGTTCTGATACCATTAAAAATGCAAAAATTGCTTCGAGCCCGTAATCATGCACACCGCTGCAAGTGACGAATCTATACGGAAGAGACGGACGGCTCCGTTCGGAAGGAGTTGGAAGGAAGCAAAACGGCGCGGAAGGTTGGCAGGGCGAACACAGCAGGACCTCCGACCTCAGTCGTGGTCTCCGATTTCGGGTGCCCGGGGCCTGAAAGAGGAGAAGAAGAAGAGGCGGAGGAGGGAGAAAGGCGGACCGGTGCGGTGGAAACACGCAGAAAGCGAGTGGCACGAAAGTGAGAGGAGGCACGGTATCTCGTCGGCCTTGGGGCCTCCGCGAGGAACATTTCACTCGCAAAGACCATCCGAGAGCCTGATAACGCTCCACCAGGGACCAGGAATGGAAGACGAGGGGGAGGAAGAACGGATTCCAAAGCGGCTGACCGGTCACCGGCTATTTTTGCAACCGGCAGTACAGTTAAGACGGGAGACACGATCGCGGAGACGCTGGAGCCAGTCGCCGAAGATTTTCCTTCTTTTTCGCATTCGAACGCGGCTTCGCCTTCTTTTGAAGCTGCCTGTAGCCCTCGACATTTTAATTGTCTTGATAAATGAAAACGGTCCTTTGACGAGTATCCAAGTAGTTTTTTGAGGAATATTTCTTTCGGAGCACGTGGAACGGAGTTGCTGTGTTTTCAGGGCATCTCTTTTGAAGCTGCCTGTAGAATTTAAGATTAAACTCTGCCTAAAAGCAACTGGATCTTTTGGACAATATGATTTCTGGGGTACACGTGTGTACATGTGCTGCAGTTGCTATGATTTGGGGCCACTTCTTTTTGAAACTGCCTGTAGAATTTAGGATTAAATTGCTTCTAAAAGCGTCTGGATTCTATGAGTAAGAAGAAGATCGTCAGGAATAATGTAAATTTTAAATCGAGGCTAAAATCAACAGTTGCTATAATCTGATGGCGTTACCATTTTTTAAACTGCATGTAGAATACTTAATTTAGATTAATTGTCCTGATAAATAGAATAGTCGTTGAATGATTATTTATGTGTTGTTTTGTTAGAAATAATAATCTCTGGAGTACATGTTATTTGGATGCTAAAACCTTGGACCATCTTCTTTGGAACAGTCCGTAGAATTCCAACGCTCTGTAGAAAATACTCTTTAGAAAATACTGAAATTCGTAAACGACTATATTCGGGCGTCTTCGAGAACCAACGGCCGACGGAATTCACGCGCGAGACCTGCTAAATTCGAGCGCCACCATTTCTGAAACTCCCTGTAGAGTCGAAATTTATTTATAAAAATCGTACACACATAATTCGAGAGAAGATCCCTGGACGAACCGTAGAAATGTTTCCGAGCCTCGTGGGGATTGCTAAAATCGTACATCTAATCGGCCCGCCTTCTCTGAGCCGTCTTGTAGAACGGCAATCCATTTGGAAAAATAACTGCGGTGAAATATCGGCGATCGAGGTGTCCTCGTAAGGTTGGTTCCGTCTCGCGAGAGACGTGTCCGAAAGTTTCGATGCGAACGCGGGGTCATGATTAAAAGATGAGCTCGGTTGCAGAGCGGGCGGGTACACACGCCCACGACATTCCGGTCTCGTTGGAATTTCTCTCTCTCTCTTTCTCTCTCTCTCTCTCTCTCTCTCTCTCTCTCTCTATTTCTCTTCGATTATGAACGCGAGGCGGCCCGCGTATGCAANGATCATCGAGTTACAACGATGTGCATAATTATAGACCCAAAAAGAACTTTACATTGTTACCGGCATTTAAACAGAAACCAAAAAGGCACTACACATATTTCTATTTTCTACTGTTTCTAACATAGAAATATACGAACATGACGTTTCGTTAAGATTTCGTTCTGATACCATTAAAAATGCAAAAATTGCTTCGAGCCCGTAATCATGCACACCGCTGCAAGTGACGAATCTATACGGAAGAGACGGACGGCTCCGTTCGGAAGGAGTTGGAAGGAAGCAAAACGGCGCGGAAGGTTGGCAGGGCGAACACAGCAGGACCTCCGACCTCAGTCGTGGTCTCCGATTTCGGGTGCCCGGGGCCTGAAAGAGGAGAAGAAGAAGAGGCGGAGGAGGGAGAAAGGCGGACCGGTGCGGTGGAAACACGCAGAAAGCGAGTGGCACGAAAGTGAGAGGAGGCACGGTATCTCGTCGGCCTTGGGGCCTCCGCGAGGAACATTTCACTCGCAAAGACCATCCGAGAGCCTGATAACGCTCCACCAGGGACCAGGAATGGAAGACGAGGGGGAGGAAGAACGGATTCCAAAGCGGCTGACCGGTCACCGGCTATTTTTGCAACCGGCAGTACAGTTAAGACGGGAGACACGATCGCGGAGACGCTGGAGCCAGTCGCCGAAGATTTTCCTTCTTTTTCGCATTCGAACGCGGCTTCGCCTTCTTTTGAAGCTGCCTGTAGCCCTCGACATTTTAATTGTCTTGATAAATGAAAACGGTCCTTTGACGAGTATCCAAGTAGTTTTTTGAGGAATATTTCTTTCGGAGCACGTGGAACGGAGTTGCTGTGTTTTCAGGGCATCTCTTTTGAAGCTGCCTGTAGAATTTAAGATTAAACTCTGCCTAAAAGCAACTGGATCTTTTGGACAATATGATTTCTGGGGTACACGTGTGTACATGTGCTGCAGTTGCTATGATTTGGGGCCACTTCTTTTTGAAACTGCCTGTAGAATTTAGGATTAAATTGCTTCTAAAAGCGTCTGGATTCTATGAGTAAGAAGAAGATCGTCAGGAATAATGTAAATTTTAAATCGAGGCTAAAATCAACAGTTGCTATAATCTGATGGCGTTACCATTTTTTAAACTGCATGTAGAATACTTAATTTAGATTAATTGTCCTGATAAATAGAATAGTCGTTGAATGATTATTTATGTGTTGTTTTGTTAGAAATAATAATCTCTGGAGTACATGTTATTTGGATGCTAAAACCTTGGACCATCTTCTTTGGAACAGTCCGTAGAATTCCAACGCTCTGTAGAAAATACTCTTTAGAAAATACTGAAATTCGTAAACGACTATATTCGGGCGTCTTCGAGAACCAACGGCCGACGGAATTCACGCGCGAGACCTGCTAAATTCGAGCGCCACCATTTCTGAAACTCCCTGTAGAGTCGAAATTTATTTATAAAAATCGTACACACATAATTCGAGAGAAGATCCCTGGACGAACCGTAGAAATGTTTCCGAGCCTCGTGGGGATTGCTAAAATCGTACATCTAATCGGCCCGCCTTCTCTGAGCCGTCTTGTAGAACGGCAATCCATTTGGAAAAATAACTGCGGTGAAATATCGGCGATCGAGGTGTCCTCGTAAGGTTGGTTCCGTCTCGCGAGAGACGTGTCCGAAAGTTTCGATGCGAACGCGGGGTCATGATTAAAAGATGAGCTCGGTTGCAGAGCGGGCGGGTACACACGCCCACGACATTCCGGTCTCGTTGGAATTTCTCTCTCTCTCTTTCTCTCTCTCTCTCTCTCTCTCTCTCTCTCTCTCTATTTCTCTTCGATTATGAACGCGAGGCGGCCCGCGTATGCAAATAGGGTTCGCGGCGGAAAATAATTTACGAGATACGGATCATCGACGTGGAACTAGTCAAGGTTCTCTCCTGTCGAGGACGCCTACGGGGGAGCACGGGATAAACACAGACAGTAGTAGCCGTTATCATTCACGTCTCCTTCTGTTCGCCATTTCTTTCTCTTTCTTTCTCGTTCTTTCGCAGACTTTTCTTTATTGTCGTATTAATTTACATTTATACAGTAAACAGCTCAGCCGTTCTGCGAGTGGCAGCCTTTCCTTCTAAACATATGTACAGGATGTCCCGCAACGAACGATACGGTCGAGCGGCAGCCAGCCGAGGTGGGCCGACATCTACGGAATCGAATTTCCCTGTGACAGCTGCCGCGCCTCGGTTGTACCGGCAGTCGCGGGACACCCTGTATACACGGACACGTTCCGTTGACCAAGAGCGACCGTCCCGAGACCGTTCCCTCCGACGCGAGGATAATTGGCGTGTCGCTCACTGTGAGGCTAGATCACCTTCGATTTCTTTATTCCGCGCGGTTTACGGGTGCTGGACCGAGGGCTCTCAACGACTCTCCCTTATCCGCGGCGGTACGGCTTCGCCTTCACCTGCACCTCCTCCCGCTGGGTCTCCTCGACCTCTTCCTGCACCGGCTTGCCTCTGGTACCGCCGAACCTGCCGCGGACCGACGACTTCGATTCTGTCGTGCCGGTGCTCTTGGCGCGGCTGCTTGTGCTGGCTCTGAAAAAGAACCCGGTCCCGGTCATAATTCCGTCGTAAAATGTAAATTCTGCTATTCCGCTCGACGCTTCGAGGACCACGGAAATATATTTTAGGTCGAATGGCTGGCAGAAAAGGACGTTGGAACGTGGATTGAGCATTTTGAGGGAAAATACAATTTTACTTCTATAGTACTTCCATAGCAATCGTCTCTCTAATGTCCGCAAGATTGGTCAAGGACTCTAGGAACACATTTTTGTACGAATGACTTACAAAAACTGATGAGAAATACGAGCACCCTGGGAATATCGAGGGACGAGCGCTGCGAGAGTAAAGGCAAGAAATTACTTCCACGGTGCTCGATATTCATGGGACGACTTGCAAAAATTGAGGTAGAATTGCAAAGTGTTATAGAAACATCGGGGTACTGGTGTTATGGGAGAAACAAGGACGAGTACTATGAGAGAAGCAAAAGCTGGGCTCAAAAGATCGAATTACATCAATGATTTAGAACCATAGTGATGTCGGTCATATTTTCGAGAATTTCGACTTATGTCTTAAAGTGTAATTTACGTATGCCAAAATGATAAAAATACATGTGAAATGAACGATGAAAATACTATAAATCAACTGTAAATTATCTTAACAGTAAATTTGGCCAGTGAACGATACACATGTCAGTGTTTCTCGCAACGAGACAAATGCGACCTCCGCCAGAATGATTTTAACCCACTCATATCTTCTCGATATCTTCTCAATTAGGGGTCGATAGATCCGAAAGATCATTACTTGGACTTCGGCGTGGTGGACTCGGCGGGCTGGCCAGCCGAGGAGGTCTCCCGATGGCTGGGCACCTGGGCTCTCCTTCTCTTCAAGGCCGCCAATAAGTCCTGATTTGATCTGGAATTATGAAACCGAAGGGGTCACATTCTGCCGCTCGTCGGTAATTACTGACGGGGATATCAAAAGCAGGGAAACCTAACCCAGACCTGAAGGGTCTAACTCCGCTGCGCACGATCTTGGACGACTCCGTGGTCGTGGTGGGGACGTCCTCTTGTTCTTGATTCTCCTCGAGTTCCTCGTCGACTTCCTCTTCCGCTTCCGCCGGCTGTTCCACGGGCTTCGCCGTGGTCGCTTGCGTCTGATCAACCAGAAGTGGCACTCAATAATCGAGCTAACGTTAAACGCGCGAGCGTCGCGAGGTAGCCACTTACGGTAGCTGGTCCCTTTCTGCCAACGGTGACTCGCCCTCTCGAGGACAGGAGACCTCCCAGCCGGCCGGAAGTCGGCTTCGCCGAGGTCGACGGGGTCACCGGGGCCGGCGCAGCGCCCTCTTCTTCGTAGTCGTACTCGTCTTCCGATCTGGCCGCGACTATCAGGCAGCCGGTCGCCAGCAATCTGTCGAGCAAAACGTTCGTGTCGTTTCCATTCGGCCACCCAGTGTACACCGCGGCAGGAATTTCGGCGCGGGCTTTGGATCGCTCTGTAGACCGTGTTTGTTCCTAACGCGGCAAATAAATAACCGACTTGCCGCGAAGATTTCGATAGTGAAAGGCAGCACGCGCATGCAAACGATACCGCCTGCCAGCTAGGAAACGCTTTCCTCAGACGCCATCGACTGAGAACAGGAAGTCGTTTCTCGAGCAGGTCGCCACGTAACTGCCGATCGAACAGCTGTTCGACGAAAGATCTGTCAATTGGAATTCCCTGTACATCGACGACGATTTTACTTCGATTTTTACGCTGCGATTCGGTCATCCTGCGAGTCTAGGATGATGTTTCTCTTAAATAGTCCACTGTCCAGGTTATATTAAACGTCTGATATGTCTGATAGAGTAAATGGAACACCCTATAGGTCTGAGATCACTCGTACATAGACACAAAATCTACTTTGTGTTCCTCGAAGAGATTCAACCGCCCTGCTATACGACATCCACGTTTCGCTTCGATCCTCTAACTTCGACCGCGGTAAATGTAACTTCCTGTAGCCAAAGAAGCCAATCGAAACGTCCTGTACGATGCTAGTTCTACTTTATGTCGTGATTCGATTACGTTGCAGCCGTTAACTTAGTCGCCGCAGTCGTGAACACGCGAATTCCGACCTCGCGACATGGAGCACCCTGTAGTCAGCTAATTGCAAAAACCGAGTCACCCTGTACATCGAAGTAAAAGCTACTTTTACTGAACTATTACGGTTCGATGGTTCCGCGTTGGCAGTCGATATTTTTGTAGTACATTATCATTTCGGTCCGGGTATTTGGAGCGGTCCTGTAGGCCCCGTTCCAAGGGAGCCCCGCTGAAGCAACACCTCGGCCCGGGCAAATCGGATCGAAGATGGCGGAATCGGGTAGAAGGGCAGCACCCACTCGACGAATGACCGAGTTCCCAGAAATCTGCCCGTCCCCGAAAAGGCGCGGGGCAACACAGGACACCGAGGCGCGTGCCTCTCTCGATCACGACGGCAACTTTCGCCCGCGAAAGGATCGCGAATAGAATACCGAGGACGAGTCCTGCGTCCTGCCATCTGCATCTGCGCTTGCGCTACCGAGAAACTCGTCGCGGAGTTGTTCGAACGTTCCTCTCCGGAGGAACGACGATGCTTCGCGATCTGGAAATTCGTTTGCGAAGACGAAAAGACGGACGGCGTACGGTAATTTCTCCCGAATTCGCGCTCAGATTGCGCACGAAAGTGGACAATTTGGGAAGAGGGGACACGATTATTAGAGCCTCGCGTCTCGTTTTTATAGTCGTTGACAATCGGTAACTATAAAATCGTGTCTCGTCTTCCCAAATTGTCCATTTCGAGGTCTTCGAGAAATTCGGTCTCGAAGAAGTAGCTGGGAGATAGTGAACTTAGGATCACTTTTGTGACTGAATCGCAAGAGCTACGCGGATGTCTTTAACATGAGACGATTCCGTGGATCCTCCAGAGTATGATAACACGTGATATGAACGCAGATTTTTTTTCTATCGTTTCTGGTGTTCGAGAAATTCGATCTCGAAGCAAAGCAAAGAAAGGTAGAGAAGATGAACTTTGAGTCACTTCAGCGTCGAAACCATAAGCGCCACGCGATCGTGCCTGGCATCGATCGATTCGGCGGCGTCCGTAGAACACAATAACAATCGTTTTTCGCAAGCTCGCGGGCATTCGGCGCTCAGAATCGACGAAAATTAGCGAGCGTGACGCTGTGACACAACCGCGGCGCGGAGGGTTGCGTCAGCCGCGGGGCAGCGCAACAAAGGCCCGCGCGTGCAACGAAGAAAAAAGGGAGACGTGTCAGTTTGACCGTGGATCGTTCGGACGTGGAAACCGCGGTGTTTCGAAACCGGAGCGCGGCAGTTTCGCTGGTGTGGGGCCCTGGCACGCGAAACTCGTCGATAAAACTCGATCGCCGTTCGAGAAATTCGACCGACCGAACGAACGAACGGTTGTGTTCCCTCGGTGTCGTTTTTTCTCTGTCCCCCGACCCGTTCTTTTTCGCAGCGATATTTGTTAGCCGTGTCACGTATGCACGGGCTGGGAGCTCGCTCGGGCCCGCGACACGTCCGTGGCAACGTATATCGGGCCGGCCGGCCAATCCCGATCCGGGAGTAGCTTGTTGCACGAGCCAACAGCCCAGAGAAAGTGAGTTTCGTATCGTGAATGTCACAGGTCAAAATCCAGCCGGCGCGACGCGGCGCGGCGTCGCAGCCTGCCGGATCTATAGAACGAGAAACGTGCACACGGTGCACCGATCGTGCCGTGTGCTCTCTCGCGAGCGCGCCGCGAGAGCAGCGGCGTTAGGACACGCGATGCCCCGGGAAAATCGCGCGGGTTGCGCCACCGTCGATCGTCGTCCTCCTCTTCTCGTCGGCCCCACTCACCGAAGCCGAACGCTCGTTCTCACCTGTCCCGAAAACGCGACGGCGTTCGGGCACGGCGACAAATTCCGGCCCGGAATCCCCTAAACGCGGCTCGTAGAAACTTTACGGGCCCTCGCGAACGATTTCACCGAACGGCACCGACGTAATCGATATTTTTCATCGGACTCGTTTTCTAATCGATTTCCTGGTTCGCGGAACGGACACCTAGCCGCGGTTTGCATAACGCCTCTACCCGCATCCTGTTATTACGGTCGCCGGGCCTGCCCGGTTCTGCTGTTCAGGTCCTTTGTTTTCCTCCGGAGTCGCTGTGAAATTGTCGCCGTGCGCCGGACACAAGTCGCCCTCGTTCGGCTTGGTAACGTTAGATAAATAACACCTTTCGATCGCGTCCAAGGAGCCTGGCCTTGGTCACCGAACGCGCGGCACACGGTGGGCGAGAGCCGTGCCCGTGTATCGCCGTGGCGGCGCGTTGAATTTGATAGCGCGCGCGCGCGCGCACGCCTGAAAGTAAACGCTCTCGGCGGTTGTTGCACTCGATTCTACACAATTCTCCTAGGATCCGCGTTACCCGAGCTCTACAGTCCAGTGGAGACGCTCCTTAACGAATACCGCGTCCTAATTATAATACACTATGCCATAAGATTGCCTTCGTGCAAATGCCGGCGCTTCGGAGGCCATTTTGTAAATGCAAAAGCCTCCGAGCGAAAATACGACTTAAGGTGCACCGGTTGATCTACTGCAACGTGGACGCAATCCCTGGATAAGGTCCCTGCAGCGGATAACACGCTCCGAAAGTACAGAATCAAGCTCTCGGGGCAACCACTGGTAGAGGATCGAGATAACTTCCCTCCTTAAGGGCTCTCAGGCTTAAGGACAACCCCCAGAAATCAAAAGCCACTCTGGAGAATGACTGTGAAATGCAAAAGCTAGTCGAAAACTAGTCTACTATGCGGATATTCCAATCAGGATCTTCCCTTCATACCGTCTTCCATCGAGGCTTATCGTAATATACTCTAACCCAGACCTTCTCCCGATAATGGCACAACTTAAAAAGCTCGACCAGAACTATCATCAAGGTTTACTGCAGTCGTTCCCACCATAAGGGCTCGCGAGTATACAAACAGCTCCAATTTCAAACTGTGCACCCAATTCTGTTTTTACACGGCAGATACGTTCCAGAAAAAACCGTGCAGAAAAATATCGTGTAAAAAGATACCGTGCAAAAAAACAGCGTGTAAAAACGACGTAGTGGATATACGTAGAAAAATAGAGGCTTCGTTATTGTTTAGTCCATTGGTTATTGTTTAGCTCATTGTCACATTGTATTCACGAAAGTGTTATTTATACATTTTTCGATTAATCACTAGATAGCGGATCTTTATGCGAAATCAAAATTGCGTTCAGCAGTTGTTGCACGAAACTAGAGCCAAACAAAAATCTATCTTTTCTTTAAACAGTAACAATCAATTGGAAACAATGTAACAGCGTTCTTGAATTCTTCCAATATTTTCACTATTCTGTGCTTCTCTTATCCATTTTCGCAACAAATGCATAAAATAATCCTCTGTTTCTCGGTTACGCGCGGCGCAAAATACCAGAGCAAACCTTTCGAATCGACGTTCTAATGTTTGTTGACAAGAGCACTGCACGTACACCACGCATTGGCCTAAATATGTCTAGAAAATTCCGGTCGATGGAAATAATTCTAAAAATTTCGATCGCGCGGCTAACTTCCTGAACCGCGCGGAATCGAATGAAACCGTGTAAAAAGAAAATTGAATTTACTTATCCAGACCGTGTAAGAACAGAATTGTACACGAATCGAATCTGACCGTACCCCTCTAAGGGCCCGGTTATGCAGACAACCGGATGTCTCCGATTTTGAAGAATTTAATCACCCGGCGTCGCGAGTATTTCCCACGAAATACTCGAATTCCGAGGCTCCATCTCTAAGAGCACGGCAGCGGCCAGGCCGCGGTCTGGTCCGGATCACTCGCGAACACGAGCCCCGTCGGCGGATCGTCGGGCTCGCGATAGATCTCTGAGATTGTTACTCACGCGAGCAGTGCGAGCTTCATGCTGTGTAGATTATGGTAGCCGGCTGTTGCTGGGGACGACGACAGCGGTCCTCGGTACGTTGTCCCGGTGTCGTCGAGGGCTACGAGACGGTACGGTGAGACCGTTGAAACGACGACGACGACAACGACGACGACGACTGGGTTGTTGGCACGGCCGCGACACCTCGAGGAATGGGTATATCGTTGGAAGTGGTAGAGGGAACCGCAAACCCAGCCAAGCACACCAACTGCAATCGCGGAGGCTGTGTACTTTGGAGTGCCGCGGCGGGTTTCCCCTTCCCTCTATATATATTGGCACTCTCACTCAGCCGGACAACCACCCGTTTGCCGTCCCGTGGAGAAGCCCATCCACCTATCGTGCGTGTGTGACTTTGATATATCCGGCGAGCAACACCACCGTCTGGCCGTTTCTCGCGGCCATGGAATTCCGAATCTTCTCCTTCGAAGCCTCCCTCGGCGACGCCGCCGTGCCGCCTCCGGCCTCTCCTGTCGCTCCGAGCCGGAATGACACTGGAATTCCACGCGCGAACCGACACTCACCGATAGCGGATTCCAGATGCGATTTTTTCCGAGGATTTTCTCTCGCGTCCCATCGCCCCGGCCATCTCCGGGCAGCCGGAGGTCGCCGGGAGACCCGGCTACGTCGCATTTTTCTAGTTACTTCGCTTGGAAATCGCTGGGAAAGGAATTTTCACTTTTGTTGCTCGATTTCGATACGGCGCCGTCGCTAGGCGACATTTTATCTTGTTTATTTACTGCTACGAGCGCGATGGCATACCCGGTGCATGCGTTAGGTCCCTTTTCGATAGTCCTTTTCTCTCCCATTGCATTCGCGACGCGAAATAACATAATGTTTGTTAATTTTCTTCTTATTATTATAATTTCGTTGTGTTTATTAATGTTAGTTTTATATATAGTTTATTTATTATTAATTTTGACTTAGATCTGTTAACTTTTTAAAATATAATTTCTAGTTCCTTTTTTCAAAGTTTTGTTAAATCTCAGTCTTTGTGAATAAATGCTGATATGTACATATTTGGTTATTAATGTGCAGGTATATATGTATACATATAACACACTAGTAACCAAATTTTTATTTTAGTCCGTAATTTTGCCATTGATACATTCTGTGCGTCGGTTCGAACCCATCACTAGTATCATTGAAGCCAAATAGGTATCGCAATTTTCTTCACAGTGCTCATGCAGAATCAATGGCAGATTATGGCAGTGTACGTATCATATTACTTTGATATCGTTTGAGTGTATATTAAACCCTACACTACTCAACATTTATGGACCAACCAAGACCAAATGTTTGAAGTCCTTGGAAACAAAGGAACACTTGTTTGAACGCAATGAGAGTGTTATATCTCATATTACCTCGATGTTGCTCGAGCCACGTTAAATCCAACACTACTTACCATTCAAATTGCAACTTAGACCAGTGGTTCTCGAGCTTGTTTTCCGCGAACCAAAAATTTATATTTATTCTATTTATATTTTTATATTTCTCTATAATACATGTATAATTTATTCTTTGCCGCAGAATATAGAAAGAAATATTTTAGGATCTATTACTGAACAAGTAATTGAATTGCTATAATTTGTATACACATTATTTAGATCATCCAGGAATGTTCTATATGTTTACACATATTTATTTGATACTTATGTACGTTGACAAATGAATTTACTTTTCGCGTCCTGCGTCGCGTATCACTCCGACACCGGCCGCGATCCTTCGAACCCATCGCTACTCACCTCTAAAAGCCCGCTCGAACCGGGCCCATAAGTACAGCCGAGATCCCATCTAAAGTCTACGATATTCTCGCGTATTCCCATATCGTCCGGCAAAACAGGGTGGCTCGGGGGACAGCGTGGGAGTCCGGTTTGGCTGCGGCGAGTGCTCGAGGGATTTGGTCCGGTCCGCCGAAACGAAACCGAGAGCCGGAGCTTTGGACGTGTTTTATAGTTAGATCGAGCGTCACCGGTGAAAGTAAACGACACGGAGGCCTGGTATATCGCGGCCGTAGTCAGGAATGCCGGAGGAGACACCCTGCTGTCCCGCGAGATGCCCTATCCTTCTTCTCGGCGAGTCCTTCGGGAAAATCGCCGGTCGTCGGCAAGGCGACCCGCGTCCGGCTCGAGAACCGCTATTGTTCGATGCGATGAAATCAATTCCAGACGGGTCGTGATGTCGGCCCGCGACGTCACGTCGCGCATCCAGAGACATTCAGGATCTTCCGTGTGTAAATGTCAAGAGGTATTGCGGCAAGTGCGATTACAAGCACGGTTTCTCGGATCGCTTGCTGCCAGCGTAGATCCTCGGGCATCTTGCTCTTTCGATACTCGGTATTCCAATCAATCGCTGCATCATCGGATTAACAATGAAATTGTTCAAAATATCGCCTTGGTTTTTTTCGTGCATTTTTTTTGTGTCAAAAAATATTTCTCTAAGATTCATCTTCTTGCCGGACTTTTGGTAAATAAGTTTTAATGTTGCCGACAGGATGCTTGGATCGCACAAGGATAAAGCGCGGAGATCACGGGTCCAAGATCTCTGTTCAAGGACCGATCGATGCGAGACCAGAACCGTCGGCGAAACTGGTGTTGCCACCTCTCGGCATCGCCCAGCAGCGTTCAAGATAGTCCTGCACACTGTCTTCTTACCTTACGAACAAGATTGAACAACAATTGAAAGGTAAGAATGAAAATATAACATTTTTTTGGAAGACGCGTCTATACGTCAAGTCAACGTAACTTTTGTCCGAATCTGGAGAAGCATGGATAAAATTATTGCTGTCGCATATAATTTTTATAATAGGAATGCCAGCTACTTGGAACAATTTGTAAGCGTAGTTGAAACTTGGACAGACGAGTCTGCAAAGTTTTGTGAACGTACTACTTTTAATATACTTAAGAAAAATTCTCAAAGTACATCCTCAGAATAGACAGACCTATTTAGTACCCAAAACGATTAGTACCCGCATTTCAAGTCAGGTAGATTAGTATTGTATCAGGCTATGATCCGATACGACCCGACAGGACTCGAAACGAACTGTTCTAGGGACCCAACAACCGCACCAATAAATATTTAGCGATTTAAGCATGATTATGTCCAATATTCCAATAATATGTGGCATTCGAACATTTTGAGTGTATGTTGGAACCCGCCACGACCCGACCCGACCCGCTTTAAAAGACCATTACCTATAATTTTGTACATCAGTCGACATACAAATTTTTAAGTCCCGTACATTTTGCTGATGCCATAGCACCTGATCACTTTGGGTATCGATTGTAACTCTGCACGACCCTTCCCTCCCTGTGAGACCATTACTCATAACTTTGCATATCAAGTGATGCACAAATATTGTAATGATACCCGTAGGACCTGATCATTTTGAGTGATTGATGTGACCCGACCCGACCCGACCCGATCCGGTCTACTCTAAAAAACTAGTACCCATAACTTTGCATATCAATCGATGCAGAAATATTTTAAATCCAGTACGTCACTAAAACCTTCGTACCTGACCAGATTGAAGTGACCCGACCCGACCCGACCCACTCCAAAAGTCCAGTACCCATAACTTTGCATATCAAGCGATGTAAAAATTTGTCAATTCCAATATCCCACTAATACCATTATACTTGACTATTTTGAATGCACCATGTGACCTGATGTGACCCGATGTGACCCGACCCGACCCATTCCAAAAGTTCAGTACCCATAACTTTGCATATCAAGCGATGTAAAAATGTTTCAAATCCAACACCCCACTAATGCCATCATACTTGACTATTTTGAATGCACCATGTGACCTGATGTGACCCGACCCGACCCGACCCGACCCGTTCCAAGTGTCAAGCATCCCTATCTCCGATTCCATCCCTACCACAAGCATCCGCGTTAAAAATCTCGCTGTATCGTGACACAGGATCACGTTGGGCCTCCGAGAAGTCCCGAATCGGTCCGACAGGCCCCGATCGCGCCGATACCCGCCCACAGAAGCGTCAGAGGACCGGCGGAGCCGCGTGCACCGATCAGTAGCGCCATCCAGCTCCACGATCTCCGGCGCGGAACTAACGGAGCCGCGGAGTCTGTCTGTCACTTGTTGCATCGCCGTCGTCGGCCTGACGTTTCGCTCGTCTCGGCTCCAGGCCCGGCGCGTGTGCTGCTCGCACCGGTCCGCGTTCTTCCGGTTTCCTTGCTCGCGTCTCTCCCTCCTTACGGTCGCTCTCTCGCGAGACGAACGCCGATAGTGCAACGGTGTTCACGTGAATCCAGTTCCTTTTTATCTTGGCGTACAGTGTGTGGTTTTGTGGGTGTATTGTTCCCCCAGTCTGTGGACGAATCCTACGAGGTCCAGCGGCGTCTTTGACGGTACTATACTCATCATGGTGAGTAAATTAATGGAGACCGTATCGGAGTCGTTCCCTCGCCGAGACGCTCGTTTTTTTTTTTTTGGAGTCCCCTCAGATTCCTCGGCGTCGATCTGATCCTTCTGTGCGAGGATCGTGTACAGTGCCGCACAAAAGTCTCTCGGTTTTACTTGCGGCGTGTAGAAGATTCAGTTTGCCTTGCTCATTTGAGTTTCAGAATGGAATCCATTTCTTGAAGAATAAAGATAGAATAAAAATTGTCAGAATGAAGATGGTCGGATTGAAAATGGAATAGAAATAATTAGAATAAAAATTGTTGTCATTTAGGAGACAAATTGTTACTATCACGATTTTATGGAGAATTGTTGCTTCTAGGTTTCGAATTTGAATGTATATGAAATGTATTCCAGATGTTTGGGATTGTAGAATTTCCATGGAATTTGTGCTCAAAAACTTGTTGGTCGCAGTGTACAGAAGCGTCTATCTTATCTCGAAGATACAGCCAGAAAATTTGCTTTTCGATTATGGGCCCGGCTGTATAGCAATTTTCACGGGGTTTTCCACGAGAGAAACAACGGCCGGTGTTATCTGCAGTTGATTCAAAGTTTGCACGGTCCTTTGTTTCCTGGTCTGGACTCCGCGAACTCGATGAACGACGCCGGCCACTAACGCTTGTCCCTCTCTCTCTGTCTTCATCTCTCGTTCTCTCTCCATCTCCTGGAAACCAGTTTCCAGCTGTCAGCGTCCAGTTTCTCGCACATACGCGCACCTATGCAACCGTTTCTGCGACCCGACGCGACCTCCCCCCTCCCGATCCTCGATCCTTGCGATTGCCTCGATCATTTTTCGCAGCAGCAAATAGTTCAGGAACCTCTGGACCGATAAATCATTTTTCTCGCGGTTGAAAGATATTTCACCATTTTTCCAAACGTAGTTATGAATTAATAATTTAATTGAAAATTAAGTGCTTAATACTGATAATTTTATTTTGATTCTGATAAAACGGTGTTTCATTTTAAGGATGTTTAAAGGAAACAAGAATTTTTATTTAATATTTATTTTAGAGATTTATTCTTTAATATGCAGGTCCATTTTGAAATATCATAAAGGATGTTTAAATAAATTAAAAATTTCTTTTATTTTAGAGTGCATCTCCAAAGACGAATATTTTTCTAAAACTTTGAGATTTATTTCAAAAAGTTTGGATTTAGTTTTAGAAATGTAGATGCATTTTTTAATATAGAGGTTCATGTAGAACATTATTGAAGGATATTTAAATAAAATAGAAATCACTATCATTTTGGAGTGCATTTTTAAAGATGAAGATTTATCTGAAAGATTCGTAATTGAATACGGAGATTTATATGAATCCTTGGCAGCCAGGGTTACTACCATGTTTGGACGAGATCGGCAGGTCCCACGTCGATCTCGAAGGAAACATGGCGGCAGGAAGGAGCTCCCGCCACGACCGAAATAATTTTCTCTCCCTAACGAAAGTCGAAGGGCGCGTCACGACCGAAATAGTCGAGAGAAGCCTAAACAGAGACAGACTCCCGCCGAACACGCTTTACGTTCCCGTGTATTCATTCATGCAGCCGCATTCAGAATAGGTGTCCGGCACCGGCATTGTGACGGCCGGAGTAGGACGGACAGCTATTCTGAGAGTGCGCGTGGAAGAAGGACAGGCAGGAAGAACGGAGAAGAAAAATGGAGGAGCAGGCTCGATTCAAGCGTGTCCGGGCTTAAATTCGTCGTGTCGTGTTTACTATAGCTCCCATTTTCATCTACTTTTCCGGGCCACGGAAACTTTGTCGGCTTTTCTTGGAAATGGGCCCTTGAGGGACCACGGATTTTGTGGGAACCGAGCTGAACTATAGTGTTCACCATACTGTGCAATATGTCTATATTTCTTTCGGTTGCCGATATTTATTTTGAGGGGGTGGAATTAATCTTCGAGGTCATGGGGTGCTGAATAAATATTTTGATGATTTTTTGGGGAAGTTAACATTGTGAAAAATTGATGAAAAGACTGTCTTCGACTTTAGAAATGTGTAGACATTTTAAAAAATTGCGGAGTGCCATTTTGGACACTTTTTATTAGGATAGCATTGACCCTTGAACTTGGGGGTGTACGTATTGTTTTAATAAATTTTCAACCGAACTATAGGGAATGGGAGAATTATAAAAAATTGATGAAATGACTGTCCCCAAATTTTACATAGAAATTTTTGCACAGAAATTTTTTAAAATCCTGGACTGCTATTTTAGACTTTTTTTTTAAATACAATTAACCTTTGAAGTTAGGGGGTGCGAGAATACAGTTTTTGGGGTAACTAGAGGCGTTAAGAGAATGATAAAAAATTGTTGAAATAGATGTCCTTGAATCTTACAATGTATTCAATCTTTTTTAAATTAAGGAATGCCATTTTGGTCATTTTCGGTTGAGAAAGGCAGACATAAATTCCTCGATTCTTAAAGGAATCTGACGTTAGAATGATCCATGCGCCTCCAGGGAGAGGAATGCGGGCAGATGTTGGCTGACAAGGGCCCGTACCAGATCGAATCCTATGGGAGTATGGGAGCCAAAAACTGCACCGCCACTGGCGCTCGGGGCCATTGTTCCGTTGCAGGTAGCCACGTTACCTGCGTTTCTCTGCACCTTGAGGAATTTACGAGCCTTTTAGGCGTGGAACTTTCCTCGACGTGTTGCATCCCCTTCTTCTGGGAATAATTTAGGGATGCTGAAAATTATTGGTGGCGCCTACGGTATCGAACTTTTCCCTCCATCAAGGTGATTCGAAGCTCGTGCTGCTGTGCACGAGCGAATACATCACGATCTAAATTATGGAATCTGCAACGAAATCTAAAATTTAAACGTTAACATTAAAGAAATGAATTTTAGAACAATTGAACAATATTTGAGTATTTAAAAAGCTTTCAACTCCGGATTACTTAGTCATGCTATTTTATGAGAGTTAATGCATCGCAAAGTAAAAGTATCCAGATTATGCAGACTGTTCCGAAGATTATGATTTAATATTAAAATGAAACTTTTAATTTTGGAGTAATCAAAAATTTCAAATTAATTGGAAAGTCGTTTAACTGAGGATCGTTCGAAGATCAGTCCTTTGACGTAAATTAATGCATAATATATTGCACAAATTAGCCCGAAAGCGTTGCAGAGCGTACGAGATCGATATTTACGAACGGATTTTTCTTCGATTCATTTTCGTGTTCGATTTTACCATTAACATTTAATTTGATTAATCGTCAGGGTAAAGCGAGATTTCTTTCGGTGCCGATCTCGTTAGATCC